GACAGGAGAGCGGCGCCGGGGAGAGTGCGGGCGGGCCTCTGGGGCAGCGGGTGCGAGTGCGCGCGGCCGCGCGGCCCAGCCCATTGGCCTCGCTGCGGTGACGAGCCGCCTTGGGGACGGGCACCGCGCCCGGTGGGGGGTGGGGGGGCCGGCCGGATGGCGGGAGGGCGGGCGGCTGGACCGGGACGGCCCGCGGCGGGGGCAGGGCGGGCGCATCCGGGCACGGCGGAGCTCACGGGGCGCGGGCGGGGCGGCGCCCAGACCCGCCCTCTCGCGGGACTCAGTTTCCCCGTCTGCGCGCCCCACCTATTCGCCTTCCGCGGGTTCTCTCGCCGCGATTCGCATCCTTAAAACTAAAGAAACTTTGCTAGGGGGCCCTGTGGCGGCTCCGCGCGGGAGAGCCCGGGAAAGTTCCTGCGAATCGCCGGGCTAGGGGCCCGCCCAGGAGGCTCGGACTGGGCGGGGCAGGGACTGCCGGGGCCGCTGCGCAGACCCGGGGCGTTGGCGGCACCGCGGACCCCGCTCACGTGCTGGGCCTGCCCCCGGTACCCCACACGCGGAACCCTGACCGCGGGGCTTGTGCGGCGGTATGAAGGCGGCGTCCGTGTTGCTGGCAGAAAGCCCGCGCCCGACCCACAGTGAAGTGAGAAAAGCAGAGAGCAGAAGTGATTCGAATGGAATCCTTCACGCGTCTGATTCTTTTTAAGAGTTGTTGTGGGTGGGACGCGTGTCCGTACACGCAGAGAGCTCAGGAAGCGGCTGGGAAGCTTGTAACTGGCGGAGGTGGGGCAGACTCAGATGGGAAAGGGGCTTTCTACTGTTTGAGTTTTTCACCACGTGCGTGATTATTTTAAAACATTTTTGTTATCAAAAATTTGATTTCTCACTGGAGAATCTTTGGTGCATCCTTTGGGACAGATGCGAGTCTGAGAGTCATCGTGAGGGCCGAGGGCGACCCTGGAGGTGGGTCTGAGTGCCCAGGCAGCGTCAGGCCCGTGGGCAGTTGTCCTGGGTCCACACAGAGCAAATGGGTACAGCTCGTGTCCAAAGACCTGAGAGGAGGCGCTTCGCCCAGCCCTCACCCCTCACCCCCAACCCTCAAATCTCCACCCCAACCCTGGGCAGAGGCACCCCAGGCCCGGGTGGGCCAGCAGAGCTAACCTTAGGGTACAGTAGCATGGCAGGGGGCTGGAGGCTTGGGAAGTTTCATATTCTTCTGTATTTGGGTTGTTCTCTTGTACACGTTACTTTTCCAATAAAAATAATTTAAAAAGTAACCTCCAAATACTTATAAGCCCTCTCCAAGCACCTTCCAAATATGAGCCTTGTTGATGTTCAAGGTCCAGAGGAGTCCTGCAGCGAGGCCCAGCAGCCTACGGCATGGGAAAAGCTGTCAGGGTCCCCATGCTGGCTCCCTGGACTCCGTAGCGACATTCCATCAAGCCAGGGCCTCATGGCTGCGGGAGGGAGGCCTTGACCCAGAATCCATTCAGCCCTGGATACTGAAAAGGCAGAGGCCTCTGCTGATGAGAAGCCCTGAGTTCCTGGCGAGCTGTGTTTAACCACAGAAAGTCAGGCAGTGGTGATGATTTTCAAAGTCCATCAGCAAAGACAGACTCCCCACTGCAGTCCTGGGGCAGATAGAATTAAAAGGGCATGTGGTTGCAAATAAATTGGTGAGAACTTATTTTTGTCGAAAATAAGTTCCCTTACTTTACAGAGGAGAAAACTTATTTTCCCTTATTTTACAGAGGAGAAAACTGAAGGCCAGAAAGGGTGACTCCCCTGAATGTCGCGCCACAAATTGAGTGATGGTGCCAGAACACACCCTAAACCAGCGGTGCCTGCCTCCTCCCCGGGAGCGGCCAGACTGCACAGAGAATGAGGGGACCGAAATCAGTGTGGCTGAAGCTTCCCCATTGCTTTGCGAGAGGTAGGGGGCGTTTCTAAGCTCTTTGTCTGTCGGGGAGTTAGGTGGCTGGGGGTCCCACTGAGTCTGCACCACCCTCTCACCCATTCGCCACCCCTCTCCCACCGCACATACACTCTCCTCCCCCAGTGCTGAATAACTTGCATTTTCTGGAACATAACTTTGTAGTTAAGGTCCCTATGCCTTTGCCTGCATCTTCCCTCTTCCTGAAACACCCCTCCTTCCCTCCAACATGGGCTAGTGTGACCTACAGAAGCAGGTGGGAACCCTGTCATCTGCGGGACTTGGGTTCACATCCCACTTCTGGCCCTTAAGTCTGTGACTCCGGACCTTTGTTTAATAACCGGAGGAGTTTCATTAGGAAAATGGCAGTGACTGGACATCTCCCTGGAGTGACTGACGTGCCACCCACAAAGTTCTATTTGGTCAGTGCTAGGTCCGGTCGTCCATCTAGCAGGCTCCTCTTCCATCGTGCCCCCACTCAGTGCCCTTTCCTCTGCCTCCCACCTTCTGCCCTGCTGTTCGTGCCCTCATCGCCTCTTCCCCAGGGCAGAAGCCCCGACTTCTTCACTCCCAAACGTCCCAGTGCCATCACAGTGCCGTGGCAATTTATTCAGCACTGGGGGAGTAGAGTGTATGTGTGGTGGGAGAGGAGTGGAGAATGGGTGACAGGGTGATGGAGACTCAGTGGGACCCTCAGCTACTAAATTCCCCCGAGGAACTGTCTGCTGAACTGGACCCCACTCCTGTGATGGTTCACAGCCTAGAAGAACCACTTAACCACGGCAACCAGTAAGTACAAGCCATGGGGCCACATGGCTATTCTAGAGAAGGAAGGCAGCGCTACCCCGAGAGCCACACTGCTGGCTTCATCAGGAAGAGAGACAACAAGGGCACAACTCAGGGGCCGAAGTGTCCCTAAGAAGCAGAATTTGCAATACCCAGGTTTTAGAAAGAGCAACCTGGAAGGGCCACCCATGAGATCACAGGATCATCTCCCAGCTGTGAGTGCAGCTCACCCCAGCTGCTCTGACCCAGGCACGGATTATGACAAAGACAGGCAGCTCTGCAGAGGGGCCTCCGTAAATCCTCTGAAACTGAGAGAAATCAAAGTCCCGTGCCAGAAGCGCTGTGGGCTCCCTGGACTGTCCACCTGGGAGGCTGTTGGTGTGTGCGCCTGCGTGCGTCCATCGGTGGGCAGACGAAGAAGGAAACGGTAAGACCCATCACTGACCTTCCCTTAGTCCTGACGTCGCCACATCTGGACATAATGCTTTCAACCTGCGAGTGGTGTTCTCTCTTTTAGATTCTTCCCCATCTACTGCCATTTACAAAGACGGTTTCTTTTTTTTTTTTTTTTTTTGAGATGAAGTTTCGCTCTTGTTACCCAGGCTGGAGTGCAATGACGCGATCTCGGCTCACCGCAACCTCCGCCTCCTGGGTTCAGGCAATTCTCCTGCCTCAGCCTCCTGAGTAGCTGGGATTACAGGCACGTGCCACCATGCCCAGCTAATTTTTTGTATTTTTAGTAGAGACGGGGTTTCACCATGTTGACCAGGATGGTCTCGATCTCTTGACTTCATGATCCACCCGCCTCGGCCTCCCAAAGTGGTGGGATTACAGGCTTGAGCCACCGTGCCCGGCGAAAGACGGTTTCTTAAAAGGAGCATTTTTCTTTTGATACATCATGAAAACTCATTTCTCACTCACCAGGCCTTGGCACAGTGTTCTAGAGAGGATTTTTCCAGAGAAAAGGCGGCAGTTTTGAAGCCAGATAGGCGAGTTCCCCAACATCCTCTCTGCAGCCCTCATTTGCAGCATTGGATCTTTAGTTTTGAACAGGGCCAAGTCTATTCATGAATAATGAACAGTGAAACACCACAGCTGCCAGAGCCTTAATCAGGAAATGAGGCTTCTGAATAGGAATGGGGCAGCCATGTTTGTGCTGCCCAGGAGGAGGACGATTTTCCACTCCGGGCCTCTTCTTCCAGATATACAAAGGACCCCCCAGAATGCTCAGGGGCTCATACTGCCTTTCCTAAATCACAGGATCTAAGCTCTAAGGAGCTGTATTAATAATTTTGGCCCTTCCTATAAGCTTATCCTATCACTCCATTACTCTGTAATTTCAGGGGCTCTCAATGCCAGCAGGATGAAGTCCAAGCTTCTTGCCCTGACTTCCAGCATCCCCCATGCCCCTCAAGACAGGTTATCCTCTATATCTAGGGTGGTAGAATCCATTTCTACTCACCCATTCTCCTGTAACAACAGAGCCCTGGCTGGGACCGTGACAGTAGGTAAAAGATGACTTTGCAGATGGCTTTGCCTCCTTTCCTCCAAGTGCCAGGCCCGTTCCCATCCTCTCTGGCCACCCCAGCATCAGAGGTCACAACCTCCTTTAACAGCAGGTACCCCCTGATGACAATCCCACATCAGTTCAGTGAGGTTCAGTTCAGGAGAAATTTCCTGAGCCCCTGCTACAGGGTAGCCACTGCTAGTTACTGTAAAGCAGTGTCAGTGATTGATCCCCTGTCCTCAAGAAGCTCCAAGTCTAGAATTTTCTGTGATGATGGAAATATTCTCTATCTGTGCTGTCCAAGAGGGTAGCCACTAATGACATGTGACTGCCAAGCATTTGAAATGCAACAAGTACAAGGAGGATCTGAATATTTATGTAATTTTAATTAAGTGTCCATCACTGGGGAGAGAGCGGAGGATAGGAAAGCAAAGGCAGGATGACAGGCAGGAATGCAGTGACGGAGAGGAATCCAGATGTTAGGAGGAGATTGGGCTGCATCTCAAGGGTTGAGAGGATTTCACCAGCTGAACAGAGCAGAAGCAGCACGCAGTTGGTGGTGACGCGATGAGTCTGCGCAGGTAGGGAAATTCCAAGTTGCGCACTGTGGCCACAGGCGGGAAGAGGGTCGTGTGGGCAGCCAAGGCAGCTGGAGGGAAGGGGACTGGTCCCGGTTGAGAGGGACTCCCTTTGTCCTCCTGAGGACTTTGGGCTGCACATTGATGCTGATGAGAAGGTCCAGTTGGCTTTTAATGAGATATAATTTTGGCAGAATCACCTTGCTGCAGTCTGGATGATAGATTGAAAAAAAAAAAATAGATTCATTAGTATACTTTTTGGTTTTTTTGTGAGACAGAGTTTCACTCTTTCACCCAGGCTAGAGCGCAGTAGCACGATCTCGGCTTACTGCAATCTCCGCCTTCCGGTTTCAGGTGACCTCCTGCCTCGGCCTCCTGAGTAGCTGGGATTGCAGATGTCTGCCATCACGCCTGGCTAATTTTTGTATTTTTAGGACAGATGGGGTTTCACCATGTTGGCCAGGCTGGTCTCAAACTCCTGACCTCATGATCCACCTGCCTTGGCCTCCCAAAGTGCTGGGGGATAACAGGCATGAGCCACCATGCTCGGCCTATAATAAACATTTTTAAATATAGACACATGACTATATTTTAGGTTGAGGAGCACTTTGAATTAAATTAAAGAAACTGTTAATGTAACGCAATAGTGTAAGAAGTAAAGACATTGCATTCGCTTTGTAACAATTATTTTATTTCTGTATGATCTCTTCAATGTAGACCCCTCCTTCAAAATAGGACAAAGGTGAGGAAGTTCAAAATATTTTGGGGAACTTTTTTTTTTTTTTTTTTTTTTTTTGAGACAGAGTCTTACTCTGTTGCCCAGGCTGGAGTACAGTGGTACGATCTCGGCTCATTACAACCTCTACCACCCAGGTTCTAGCAATTCTCCTGCCTCAGCCTCCCAAGTAGCTGGGATTACAGGCACACACCACCATGCCTGGCTAATTTTTGTATTTTTAGTAGAGATGGGGTTTCACCATGTTGGCCAGGCTGGTCTCGAACTCCTGACCTCAAATGATCCGCCCACCTTGGCCTCCCAAAGTGCTGGGATACAGGCGTGAGCCACTGCACACCAGCTATTTTCGAGAATTTCTGAAGCACTCTAGAATTAAAGTACTAGCATTTTTTCTTTTCTTTTTTCTTGTTTTTGAAATAGGGCAGCCTCCTGAGCCAGAGTAGGCTCAGAGACTCCAGTACGAGCACTTCTATCAAATCATAAAACTTTCACGTCTATTAGTTAAATAAGGATACTGAAAAGCCAATCCCAGGCCTGCTGCTGCTCAGTTTTCCTTTAAACTTTTAAAGTCTATATATTTGCTAAGATCTAGAGTTCAGATCTTTTATTGGTTTAGGCTAACCCTTCCCCTAAATTGGTTGCATGAAACCAGCAGTTGATCTCTGCATTACTTGGCTCCTTCCAACATATTTGCTTTAGAAAATTAAAAGCATGGCATGTGATCAAATTTTTCACTCTTCATGGTAAAGTATCAGACAGATACAATTTAAACAGAGCCCCAGGCAGCTACCAAAAGGTCTTGAATGACAGCTTGTCAATTTTCTGTTATTCGGAAGCAGCTTGAAAAGCTGAGCGCGCTCACATTTAGAACATGCTGCCATTTAGGCAAAATGGTTTGACATTGAATCAAGGACATTATGAGCCAGAATTTTAAATCTGCTTGTAAAAAAAAAAATTAAGAGAGGGAGGGAGTTCAAACTTTATTTCATTTGTCTAATTATACAGGCACTACAGCAAGCACAAAACGCCACAGTTCCATAAGCATTAAAAAGCATTTACTAAGCTCATTTGGCTACATGGTCTCTAAGATGCTTGATGTCTGAGTTTTAAACCAACATGACCTAGAAGGCCCAGATTCTTTCTCTACAAACTTGTTGTTTTCTTACACATACAGCCAAGGCATTTTTTAATCCATTAGCACTGGAAAGCAGTGAGAATATTGAAAGAATGGTACAGCTTTCTAAATGACTCCTCTAACAACTTGGACGAGAAGCAGCTGACAGCTGAGATTTCTGCCTCCTTCAATAAACCCTAAAGCCAGCTCACGTGGTCGAGGGACCACTCGGATGGCCTTCTATGGGCTTTGGGTTTCCACTCACCCCGTCTCTTTCTCAGACCTGCTTCGTCTTCTTGTTTCCTTTGTCTGGCATGTAGCAGGTGCACTGGAAGTACTTACTGATATTTCCAACTCTCCAGCTATGTATAGACAAATGAAGTAACTCAAAGGTTGAACCCCCTCCCTCTCTCAATTTTTTTTACAGGCATATTTAAAATTCTGGCTCATAATGTCCTTGATTCAGTGTCAAACCATTTGCCCAAATGGCAGCTATTCAACCAGAGGAGGGCAGAATTGACCCTGGGCCCTGCCTCAACCTCCCTGTGGCCAGTGGTGCTCAAACCTGAGCATGCATCAGAAGCACCTGCAGGGCTGGTTAAAATGCGGGCTGCAGGGCTGCACTTCAGAATTCCTGATTCAATAGGCCTGGGGTAAGGCCTGAGAATCTGCATTTCTTACCAGTGTCGGATGGTGCTGAGGCTGCTGGTCTGAGTACAGAGGAGGTTCCAGCAAGAGAGAAGAAGGCTGGTAAGTAGGGCTCAGTGTGGATGTTAGCAGCTTGGATCATGGAGTGTGATAAAGACAGTTTGCTCCTCTGTCTGTAACCGGCTCCTTCTCCCCCAACTCTCAGTTACTATTGGTCTTGGGTGTAGGTGTAGCATGTAGGGTACAGGGACATGAGGCTGTGACAAAGGTGCTGTCCCCTTGCACAGCCAGCTGCCATCACACACAGGAGCACTGTCTTTTTCTGTCACACAAAAGTGCCCCAGGAGTCAGGGTGCCCTGATAACGCCACCCTAAATTGTTGGGTGGTCTCAGGTAGGGTGCACCCCTCAGTCCTGCTCTGCCGGAGGAGGCAACAGAGGTCCCTAGTATCCACTGAAATCGTCTGTGAAGCTTTTTAACAAATGCTGAGACCCAAGGATTTGGAGAAAAACTTGATTGTAGATGGTATTACTGAATCAATGTTGATTTTCCAATTTTGATCATGTTACCCTGGTATGAGAACTTCTTTTGTTTTTGTTTTTCAAGAGAAACACACTGAAACATTTAGAAGTAAAGGACGTGCAGCTTAAAGCCTGCAACCTAAATGTTTTAAATATTTCACATGCTTTAAATGTTTCCAGGAACTAGAATGGTGTAGCAAGGGTGGTAAGCCTTAGCATGTGGGAAATCCAGGTTAAGGGTAAATGAGAGTTCTGGGTTTTGTGGGTTTTTTTTTTTTTTTTTTTTTTTTCTATTTTTCAACTTTTCTCTAAACCTAAAATTATTTCAAATTAAAAAGGTTTTTTTTTTTTTGGGATGGGGTCTCATTCTGTTGCCCAGGCTGGAGTGCAGTGGTTCAGCCACAGCTCACTCTGGCCTCAAGTGATCCTCCCACCTCAGCACCTGAGCAGCTGGGACTACAGCATAGATGTGGACCACCGAGCCCAGCTATTTTTTATATATTTTGTAGAGGCCAGGTTTTGCCAGGTTTCCAGGCTGGCATCAAACTCCTGGGCTCAAGCAATCTGCCGGCCTTGGCCTCCAAAAGTGCTAGGATTACAGGCATGAGCCATCATGCCCGTGCCCTTTTTTTTTTTTTTTTTTTTTTGAGACAGGATCTCACTTTGTCACCCAGGCTGGAGTCCAGTGGCATGATTATGGCTCATTGCAGCCTCATACTCCTGGGCTCAGGTGGTCCTCCCACCTCAGCCTCCCAAGTCGCTAGGACTACAGGTGTGCAGCACCATGCCCAGCTGATTTCCATTTTTTTTTTTTTAAAGATGGGGTCTCCCGATGTTGCCCAGGCAGGTCTTAAAGTCCTGGGCTCAGGTGATCCTCCTGCCTCAGCCTCCCAAAGGGTTGGGATTGCAGGTATGAACCACTTCTTCCAGCCAAAAACTTCTTTAAAAGAGAAACAAAATTACTCTAGGAGCACCACTAAGCACGTGATATCAAAACCACACTGAGATACTACTTCACATGCACTAGGGTAGCCAGAATCAAAAAATCAGATGGTAACAAGTATTGGCAAGGATGTGGAGAAATCAGAACCCTCATGCACTGCTAGTGGAAATGGAAAGGAAAACGTGCCCACACAGAAACTTAACACGCATGTTCACAGCAGCACTATACGTAACAGCCAAAAGGCAGACACAACCCAAATGCCCATCAACTGATAACAGTTAAACCAAATGTGGCATATCCATACAATGGAATACTATTCAGCCACAAAAAAAGAAGGGAATACTCACTACAACACGGTGAACCTTGAAAGCATGGTGCTAAATGAAAGAAGCCAGATGATCTCATTTATGAGAAATGTGTATAACGAAAATCTACAGAGACAGAAAATAGATTCATGGTTGTTTAGGGCTGGAACAGTGGGGAAACGCTGGGCACAGTGGCTCATGCCTGTAGTCCCAGCACTTTGGAAGGATGAAGCAGGAGGATTTCTTGAGGCCAGCACTTTGAGACCAGCATAGGCAACAGAGCTAAAACCCATCCCTTCAAAAAAAAAAAAATTTTTTTTTTAGTTGAGTGTGACTGTGTACACCCATATTCCCAACTACTGGGGGGCTGAGGTGGGAGGATTGTTTGAGCCCAAGAGTTTAAGGCTGAAGTAAGCCATGATCATGCCACTGCACCAGCTTGGGTGACAGAGCAAGATTCAGTCTCTTAAAAAATTTTTAAATAGTTGGCCAGGTGTGATGGCTCATGTCTGTAATCCTAGCACTTTGGAAGGCTAAGGCGAGCAGATCACTTGAGGTCAGGAGTTACAGACCATTGGCTAACATGGTGAAACTCTGTTTCTACTAAAAATACAAAAATTAGCAGGGCGTGGTGACGCACCCAGTAATCCCAGCTACACAAAAAGCTGAGGCAGGAGGATTGCTTTAACCCAGGAGGTGGAGGTTGCAGTGAGCTGAGATTGCGCCACTGCACTACTGCCTGGGCCACAAAGCCAAACCCCATCTCAAAAAAAAAAAAAGAAAAAAATTAAATAGAAAATAAAAAGAATAGCTCAAGAGTATGGGGTTTCTTTTTGAGATAAGGAAAATGTTTTAAAATTGACTGTGTTGGCTGGATATGGTGGCTCACGTCTGTAATTCCAGCACTTTGAGAGGCTGAGGTGGGCAGATCACTTGAGGTCAGGAGTTCAAGACCAGCCTGGCCAACGTGGTGAAAGCCCATCCCTCTTAAAAATACAAAAATTAGCTGGGCATGGTGGTGCACACCCGTAATCCAAGCTACTCAGGAGGCTGAGGCAGGAGAATTGCTTGAACTGGGAGGCAGAGGTTGCGGTGAGCAGAAGCTGCACCACTGCCCTCCCACCTGGGCAACTACATCTTAAAAAAAAAAATTGACTGTGTCGGTGGTTGTCCGTATCCATGAATATACTAAAAACCACTGAAATGCATACCTTAAGTGGGTGGATTACTTTTTATTTGAATCCTCTCTCAATAAAGCTATTTTTAAAAACTCAGGGGGAGGCGGGTAGTGACTGAGCATCCCTAATGTCTCTGATTTGAAGAGCCCCCAGGGCCCCAGTGAGCAGCAGAGCTGAGAACCACACACAGGCCATTTCTGTGTACCGACACGATGCAGATCCACATTTAAGCCACCCAGTTAGCCTAGACCCAGAGTCATGTCCTTAGACATCTAAAATTCAGCAGCACCAGGTATTTTATTTGTCTAACTCATAACCCGTATTTAATCAGCCAGCCTGTGTCTAGATGGGCCACCACGTTTTCTTCCTCAGTCAGGTTGAGAGTTGCCTGGCACAGGAGCCTGCCTTGCCCACTGTGCCCAGACAGCGCCCGCCACGTAGCAGGTGCCAGTCTCATGTTACTTGCATTAAACAGATGCTTGCAGCAGAAGGTATAGTACTGAAGTAATGCATTTTTATCTTAACTTTCATTTACTTTCTTCCCTTAAAATTGATTCCATTCTTGATGTGACTTTCAGCTGTCAGCTGTCTGCACTCCCAGATGAGGTGATGGCCTGGCACCAACGGAGCATTGCCCTGATGAATCATGGTCAAGGTACTTTTCCACTGGGCCAGCTGCCACAGCCCCTTCTCCATCCTTCCGAGAGCTCTGTCACCTTGCCTTGTAGACACTTGTGTCTCTCCCACTGGCTTCCACTGCTTTGGGGCAGTTTCTGGATGCCCAGGCCTAGTCCAATGCTGGCACCCAGTTAATTCTCTCTTCCTTTAAAGGGAACAATTACCACCTTGAGGAATGAGGCCCGAAAGCTGAGTCTCTGCTATGGCATCCGCCGCCTTCTCACGAAGACCTGCAGCTTGAAAGGAGGGCAGGGAGAAGGAGCCCAAAGCTCCAGGAAGACCAAGCCCAGCTGCTATGATGATTCCAAGGAAATTCAGGAAATCCTTGCTAATGGCCAAACTTCCCCGGTTTGAGATGCAAAAGGAAATCAGATCCCCAGGGTAATGCTTTTACACTAAGCAAGAAATTGCAGGATATAAAGCTATGCAGACCGCTGCCCCTAATTAAGAAAGCAATTCTGAGACTCCGGCCTGGAAGGAACTGGTCAACATAGTTAATTCTGGGTGGAGGGGTGATGGGGGATAATGTCTCCTTTTTATTTTCTATACGGGGGGATGGGAGGGTGGGGGAGGGGATGGGCAGTTAAAAATCAAAGGAAGGAAACATAAAGCCAAATCCTTTTCCATCCATAGCCGTTCAAGCTACTGCCTGGTCACGTTCTCCTTGAAGCTGGGGCTCCTCTCTCAGGCCCCACCTAACATGGCCTGGCTCCTTCCTGGGGTCACTCCTTGTTTCTCAAACTTCAAACTCAACCTCTCCTGCCTCTGAGCTCAGCATCTGGGCCTCTCCCCTTTCTTTATAAGCGCCATCCCTGACGGCCTTCTGTGGGTCAGCCGCATAGCTGGACCACATGCTTCACACCGAGTTAGACAAGAAGCTTGTTCCCAATCTATGTGGGTTTTTTGACATTTTAGAGAGCAGATGCTTTCCCACGCGTTCTAATTCCCTGTTACATCTATACATCTTTTTAAAAAGTCTTCAAGTCTTTTTCGTGTCCGGACATCACTTATTCCCTCCCTTTTTTCCCCCCAGTTTCACCTGCCCCAGGCCACATGACCAGTGCTGCTGTTTCCTGCATAGCACACATGGGGAACCCTGAAAGCATGCTGCTAAATGAAAGAAGCCAGGTACAAAAGGCAACATACTATATGATTTCATAAGAAATGGATATAACAGGAAAATCTACAGAGACAGAAGATAAATTCGTAGTTGTTTAGGGGCTCGGGAGAGTGGGGTGAGGCCTCTCTATAGAGGTGGCAATGCCCAGGATTTCTTTGAAGATGTTTAGATATCACAGTGTAATTGGACAACAGTGAGGAAGTCTGGAGTTATAGCTTCTATAGCTCCATGCAATAGAAGGGAAGTAAAACCAGATCCCAACCTGCCTCCAGTCACCTGATTCAGCAAAGTCAAAGTCACAAATCAATAGGGACAGGATGGTCTTTTCAGTAAATGATACTGTATCATTGACTCATCATATAGAGAAAAAATGAGCCCTGGTCCCGTGCACACAGAAGACATAAAAGTTCCTTCAAAGTGGATCTTAGATCTACATTCAAAAACAAAAGCAACACAGGGTCCGGGAGAAAGGGTCCAGGCAGGAGAATATTTATATGACCTTGGGCTAAGCAAGAGATTCATAAACAGGACATAAAAACCACTAACCACCAAGAAAAAATGACTGATAAATATGACAATTGAAGGATTTATGTTTCTCAAAAATAAAAAGGGGAACCATCGACTGGGAGAACATATTTCTGATACTTATATCTAACCGAGAATTTATATTCAGGTTAGATGACTCAAAAACAAAAACGCAAGCAATCCACTAAGAACAAATTCTGATCAGAAGACTTCACAGAAGATCTACAGATGGCCAGTGACCTCAGGAAAACACGGATTAAAACAACAAGGAGACACACCCACAAGCTCCGTGACAGTTTTGAAAATGAAATGAAACCCTGAGGTTGGCAGAATTCTAAGGTGGTGTCCCAGATTCCCACCCTTGGTATCTGTGCCCCACACTACCCACTTGAGTAGGGGAAGACCTGTGAATATGATGGGTGTCTCCTCTGTGATCAGGTTACATCGTATTTCAAGACGGAGGGATTTGGTGATTAAGGTCTCTAATCAGTTTACCTTCAAGTTCATCAAAAGTCAGAGTGGCGGAGGTTGGCCTGAGCTACTCAGGTGACCCCTTTAAAAGAGAGCTCAGGCCTGCCCTGAGCTTGGAGAGATTTTCCAGCTAGAATTGAAGAAGCAAGCAGCTGTGAGTTCAGCTTCACAGGAACGAATTTGGCCAACAGTCATGTGAGCTCCATTAGAAATGTACCCCAAGCCCCCTCAACCTCTCCCATCCCCAACAGCACCAATCTACTGATTATCTATACATGATAGCGGGGCAGGAACAAGACTCTGGGCCCCGTGAGGACAGACTTGTCTGTCAGTGCATTTAACTATCTGTCCCAGAACCTTGCACAGAGCCTGGCACATATCAAGAACATAGCACATTTTAATTGAGACAGGCTCTTTAAAGCTGGAATCTAAAACCAATAGCCCCTAAATTCAGCAAAAAAAAGTTAATGTAACACCTGTGCTTTATTACCTGTTTCTACAGATAGAAGGGTTGGTTGTATGTGGCTATCACAAGTGAAATGCAGAATTAGTTAATAAAATTTTCATCTGAATTTAAAGAAAAATCCTAAATAATAAGATTTCCTTATTGCAGTTTTGTTGGTGCACCGCGGAGTAGACTGCACTATTCAAATAATCATTGCCCTCCCTATAGAAGAATTAAATTAGGTTACACCAAATACAGCTGAGATATTCAATCACTTTTGACATCATAAAATGCGTCTCATATGGTTCAACCTAATTCTTCCCTGCCCCTTTGATGGCCAAGCTGACCATGCCATTTTCTCTGGCCAATAAAATGTGATCTTCAGTGGCACATGTCACTTCTTAACGAAGTCTTGGTGAGTGCATGCTGGCCAGCGGGCCCTTTCCCTCTGCCATGACCACCAGACATTTCCCAGATGGATGCTGTTCAACTTGCTTTGGTCTCAGAGTGAAGTGACAAAAGAGCAGAGCCATAGCCAATCCACCTGGACATATAGCATAACTGAGCAATAAACCTGTGTCATTATAAGCCTATGAGATTTTCATTGCTGTTGCAGAACCCAGCATGCTCTGTCAATACGTTCTCTTTTACTTTGCCTTGCAATAGAGGTACACTGTGTGTGTCTCCCTCACTTACATCCCAGAGTCCAGCAAAATTTCTTGTCCATAAGAAGCCCTTGAAAAATATTGATTGAATTTAATTAAGCACAGCACTTTTCTGCTGGGAAAAGAACTGGCTGAACACAACCAAAGACATTTTGTGGCATTTATTAATTCCTGTTCTACTTTTAGGCCTAAGCATAAGAATCACCTGTGAGCCAAGCTGTATTATGTCAGCAAAAATCCCAGAACAATTAAGCCTCCTTTAAAGCTGGTATGGAGCTGTTTCCAGAATCAGCAGGAAATCCAGTGCTCGGCGTGCCTGGTGCTCGCTCCTCCTCTGGGGGCCCCCATGTCACTCTCAGCAAGGCAGTAGGAAGTGGGAGGTGAGTTAGGATTAGATCTCATTAGGCCTTCATAGACCGGGAGTTATAAAGCAGTGAGAACCTCTCAGTGAAAACTGTCAGAGGTTTTTGTGCAGGGGAGTGACCATCTGATGTTTTAAAGGTTGTGAAGGGGGTCTGGCTAGAGAATAGATTATAGAGAGACAGGAATAGAAACAGGGATAGAATATAAATTCTCTTAGAAATCATGAATTTTGACAATTTTGACAAAAGAAAAAAAATCTAAGTAAACCAGTATCTGTGGTGAAAAAGAAATATTTACAAACAAAAATCACTCTGGAAAAATTCTTGAAGCTAAATGGTTTCATGGTTAAATTCTCTGAAACTTCACATAAACAGATTTTATGTTCTTTCAACTGATACTGACCATGGGGAAAAAAATGAAAAACTTCCCAATTCATTTTGTAAAGCAAGCACATGCCAATATCAAAACTTGTCAAAGATAGCATCCTTTCTCCTCCTGAAAAAAAAAAAAAATCTACAAATCGAAATCACTGATGAGCACAGGTATGGAATCGCTGAAGATAATATAAGTAAGCCCATCTGGTATTATATTAAAGAATAGAATATGAATAAAAGAATGGTATAGTATTAACACTTATGTTAATTTATCACATCATCTTATAAATTGCCAAAGTATCTAATACTTTATATCCATTCCTGAGGAGAATTTATTTTGTAAACTAAAACAGTAAGAAACTTAATATGATAAAGAATATTTCAAGTCAACAGCCAGCATCATACAAAATAACAAAACACAGGACATTCTTACTAATACCTGGCCTAAAGCAACAGCCTAGCACTAGAAATTCTGGCCAATTCAGTAAGAAAATAAGTAAGTAAATAAAAATTGGGAAGAGGTAGGTAAAAGAATCATTTATTGCAGATGATACCATTGTATTACTGAAAACACAAGAGAATCAACTAAAAAAAAAAACTAATAATTCAGTACAGTGACCAATAGAAAAATTAACTTATATAAGCCTAAGTTTCCCTATAGGCCAGCAATAAACAGCTAAAAAGTAATAGAAAAAAATATTTTAGTACCAAAAATATAACTAGAAAAATTAAATATAATGAAAATATAAATATTAATTTTTTTAAATGAAATAGGAATTTACTTAACAAAAAAACAGGAGTTATATGAATATAATTACTGAAGGATTTAAGCAAAGACTTGGCTCAATGGAATGACATACTATAATATTCCTAGATGGGAAAAACATTATGTAACTGGAATTTTCCAACTTCTTCATCTGTAGATACACAAATCTCACCAGCTCACAGCGCCCTGCCCCCCACATGACGGCAGGACCTCAGCTCTACCTTACTGTTTCCTGGGTTATTTCTGACAGCCCCCAGAGTATTCCACATCCCACAGGAGCAGCAGTGAT